CTATATAACGGTTATCATCAGAAAAATATATAACGAAATGGTATAATGTAAAAAGGTACATCATGAAAAGATACAAGCGAAGAAGTTATGATAAAAGATGTAATCACCTTTTAAAAATAAATAACTATAAAACAGTTATAATCGAAAAAGCATATTAGCAAAATTTATGATAAAAAATGCAATTCTAGGATGCGTTTTCTAAGATTGCTTTATCATTAGATTTATGGCAATAAAAACGACTTCTAAAACAAAATTGTGGACCTAACACATCTAAAAAAGTTAATATTAATGAAAAAAACATTTAAAATAGCTACATATTAAGGATTTTCGAACTTAAAAGTTATTTATAAAATTAAAAATTGGAAACTAGAGTTAATGTTATAATTGTAAAATTTGTGAATCATTGAGGGTAATTGTGCTAACTATTGAGAGATCAACACGTAAACTAGTTTGCCCAAATACTTCGATCAAAGATAGGCTTGATCTGCTCCCCGTTGTCTGTGGCAGGGCATAATGTGTCAAGCGGGTTAAGTACGTATCCAACCTTACATGCCGTGACCTGATAATTGAACTAATTCAGCGAAGAAAATAAACAAAATGAAAACATGAAAAATACTTTTTAATAAAAAGATGGATAATTTCAAGAAGGGAAGGTTGGTCAACAAATCGAGGAAATCTGAAAACATGAGCAACAAAGGTAAGATACGACCAAGAAACATGACAAGGAGAGCCCGATTCATGTCTCCATAAAAGAGCTTCGTTCCGGACAGAGCTCTGACTCCCTCTTTCAAAAGCAGATCCGTCTTATCTTCATCTATTCACTAAAATGTAAATAGTATCCACGATCTTTGGACGGAATCCTAATCAAACAAAGGGAGAAAGAAGAACAACAAAAGCAAAAGATCAATGCATAACTATAGAACCACAAGCGCTTTTTCAAGAGAAAAAGAGTTTTTATCTAATTACCAAAGTTAATTACACAATTAACTTAAGTGTCTTAAAGTAAACAAATACAATTATTTATTAATATATTCAAAGATATTTGAAATTATTCTAGTCTTTGTATGATTTCGTATTGTCTTTTTATTTTAGTAATAATGACATTCAATACATTAACTAAATTTCGCGAATTTTTTAAATTTTATAACAATTTTATTCACAAGTCTATATGAAAACTTTTAAATAAACTAAATTTTTAAATATATAAGTGAAAAGTATACGCTAAAATATTTGTTTTATACAATCCTCTCATCGTATAATCACTCAATTTCCCCAAGAAATGATGGCTATGACTTTTCTGAATTTACTCTAACATTCCATTATAAACTCTTACTATTTAAGAAAACACTTCGTGTTAGAAGAATACGGTTTGTGAAAGTAAACCACATGAAGAGATGGATGTTGGGTTGAACTATGTTTAACTAACTAGAACAAAACAAAAACAAAATCTATATATGTATGTATAAATATGCATAATGATGTGTGTGTGTGGATTGAGTAAGATTAAAAACGAATAAAGAAGTGAATTAAAAGAGAAGATGGTCAGAAAAGGGTAGCTACAGTTGAGTTATGTCTATCAGTGTTTGGTTTCAATTCCTTGGCTTAGCGCTACGGTTGGTGAAGGATTTGTTGTACTTTTTTTTCCTATAGCCATTTTGTTTCTTCTTCTCACGTGTACTGCACTACTTATATTGCAATTAAGGAAACTATCTTAAATATTTTAAGAATACTTATATTGCAATTAAGGATTTGTTTTATTGTTAGTTACAAGGAAAATACATTAAAATTCGAATTGGTCTAGAAATATATTTGCAAAAAAAGCGACTACAACAGAATAGAATAACAAGTTGACAACTTCGACACGGTAAGTTTGCTTTGTATCCGGTATATCCGGTAGAGAGAAAATGTTAACATAAATAACTGTTTTAGGTGTCAAATAAATCCACAATAGTTTTTTTTTCCACATAAATATTGTTTTGCTCAAAAATAAATATCACAACCAGAAATTCCAATGTTTCTATCATCAACTTATGGTAATCTCCTAATCCCTTTCTATGAGACATGATCCATTCTCTTATGTCGTACTTCTAACGATTCCAACTTTCTTCACATTCAAATACCTTGAAAGAAATACAATTTTTTTTTTCGTTCACCCATTCCAATCGTATTCTACAATCCAAGAACAAATAAAGACACTATGTTTTAGAGACCAATAAAAAGCAATTCATCTCATCATCAACCAATTGTGACACCGAGATGAGATCGCATTTGAGTTCTGCAATATAGAAAACATGTGTCAAAGTCACATTCTCTGTTAGAGCCACACTCCCTTCTCGATTAGCAATCACAATAT